GCAGCGCACGAGCGCGCAGAGCTGCAAAGGCCCGAGCAGGAACACTGTCCAGGCGAAGCGCATCACTCCTTTTGCCAGATTGACCCCGCTCGAGGAGGACGTGGCTCAGAGAAAATAAAAACAGGGCTCAAATCACGTGAGGGAGGGAGAAATCTTCAACCAAGGAGCCGAGCGGAGCACGGGTATCTCAGTCTCCACCAAGCAATGCCAAGGGTGGGATTCAGACCCTTCCCCAGTCAAGGCGGCTGCTCTCGGACGTGGCACCCTTCCCTTTCCCCTTTCTCAGTCCTGGAAGGCAACGGGGAGCGGCGCGGCAGTCCCGGAGAGCGGGCAGTGTCTGGAGTGAAGGAAGGAGGAGTGATTTTAAACTTTCTGGCACGTTTGCAAAGTTACACAAGCCGTTCTGGCCCGGCCGCCCCTCAGCTATTTGTTCACGTAATGCGATTGGAAACGTGCAAGGCGGACAGCTCCTCGCCTCTGCCCCTCCCTTTCTCCCCTCCCTGCCCTCCTCCCCCCAGACACGTTGCACAGGGAGCGTTAAGGGGAAAGAACAAAACGGAACACACATCCTGAGACACACTGGCTTAATCTGGGGCGAACATGCAGGAATTTCAAAAAACTCAGACAGGCGAAGGCAGCCAGGCCATGGGGCGACGCCAAAATATGCACGAAGAAAAATGCTATTAGGTCACCAGCCCTTGAGAGGCGGGAAGTCGGGAGGTTGGGAGGGTGCTGGGGGCGAGAGGGGGGCGGGGGAGGATTGTGACTAAAGTTTATCCATAGAAGAGTTAACCAGACACATTTCCCAACGCACACTCACTTGCTTTTATGGGAAGCGCCCTCAGCAAATAAACCCCAGGATATCAAATTTTGTTTTTCTGTGTGTAGGTAATATGAGAAATGGGTTACAAATTTATTTCCTACAGTGAATATTTTAATAACCAAAAGTGAAATTTTACAGGGAACAAAGCCAGCTAACGCTGCAGCAATGAATAAACCTGTCTCTTTTTCAAAATGCCGGCCTGATTTGTACTTTGAGTGGAAGTGGAGAGCAATCGTTCATCTCCACAGTGTCTATAAGGAAGATTTATTAAAGACTAGAACAAGTCTGCACGAGAAAGCACTCAGAAGGCATCTTCACATATGCATTTTATAAGACATCTTTCTCCTTCATCTTATTTATAAAAAGGTTTGACTTTGGTTTTAAAAAAAATTAAATCATCTCTGTTAAATACTGAAAGTCAGTAAAACATCGCTTGCTGTTTGATTTATCTTCCAATCTAAACAAGGGAGTTGCTGAAGAAACAGCCTTAGAGTTCAGATTTTGGTAAAGAGAAGGAAGTAGGAGTGGTCAGAAGGGAATATAGGTAGGGGATAAATTATGTTGACTGGAAAGAGATACATAATGGACCAGTTATTCATATACCACTCAGGGTTTGGGCAGTGCTAGAAACCTCGCAACAAAAAAATGGTTACTAAATGGTCTGATTTAACACTACTACTCAAAACCAGATTTTGGTTACCATTTTATTGGTCTCATCATTGGGCTGTTGTCCAGACATACTTCAATATTCATATACCTCTGTTAGTCTCTGTCTCTCCGTATTTAATCACTGCATTTTGGTGATGTGGTGGAACTCTGCTGATTTGACTGCCTCACATCCATTTCCCTTTTCTTTCTAGTGAGAACAACTGGATTTTCCTTTGAGGGGCTTCCCGCCCATCCCACTCAGTTGCAGAGCGGAAGGACTGAGCATTTATGAGACTTACCCACTTCAAGAAGAGGTCATGAGATCCAAGTTTGGCTAATCAAGCCATCTCTCTAGATGGTTTAATTTTATCTGGGAACTGAATCTCGAGCAGAAGGACAGTGTCAAAAATGTTGCTCCTCAAACTACTAAAGAAAAGTGCCCAGGCCGGGAGCAGTGGCTCATGCCTGTAATCCTAGCACTTTGGGAGGCCGAGGCGGGCGGATCATTATCATTGGAGGTCAGGAGTTCAAGACCAGGCTGGCCAACATGGCAAAACTCCGTCTCTACTAAAAATACAAACAAACAAAAAATTAGCCAGGCGTGGTGGTGCATGTCTGTAATCCCAGCTACTCTGGAGGCTGAGGCGGGAGAATTGCTTGAGCCTGGGAGGCAGAGGCTACAGTGAGCGGAGATCTGCCACTGCACTCCAACTTGGGCAACAGAGTAAGACTCCATCTAAAAAACAAACAAACAAACAAAAAAGTGCCCATTATGTCTTGCTACATTAATCCCCACCCCACCTCGCCCCCCAAGCTACTTTAGGTGAGTACATTCTGAGACCTGGTTCTTCAGCATTTCCTTCTTTCTTTCTTCCTCCCCACCCCCCCATACATTCCTTTGTGACTGAACATGGTCAGAGTCAATTTCTGTTGTTTTCCACCTAAGAACCCTGACTGACACTGAACAGGGTGTGGCTGCTTCTGTCAGCTAATTGGTTCACATGATTCTCAGTTCAGGGTGATGGGTTTGGTTCAATTTGAGTCAAGTTAGATTTCCCCCACCCATGACTGCACAGCATCCTTGGTCACAGGGTAATATCACATGGAAGCTTGCCAATGGGTTTGCAAATCTATTACTTACATGTTAATTTGCACTTGAAGGTGAACATTCAAGTGCAATTCCCACTGATGGCAAGTCAACAGTGACATCTCACTCGCCCTATAAGGGTCAGAGACACCCCTAGCTGTCATTTTACAGACTTGCTGCAGTGCTTAAAATTAAACTACTCAACTCCTCCAAACCCACTAAGAAAGATGGAGTGAAAAAGAAGAAACAGGTGTATAGATTATAATTTCGATGGACAGGTCAAATTACAGGAGAAGCAGGAAGCGAAAGAGTGTAATTATCCCTCATCTGAAAAAGGCTATACATGTGCCCATGAACAGCTTATTCCCCAGACGAGAGAAGCCTGAAACTGCTATTACTTGACCACAGGTTCCTGAGGGAAGACCTCTGCTATGCCAGACATAGTGTCAGAATGGCAGACCAAAGCAGCACCCCTAATGGGAGGGTAGAAAGTTTACATTGGATCCCAGATAAAATGCCCTTGTTTCCAATCCTAGTGCTCTAATTAAAAAAATAAAAAATAAAAAAAATAAAAAAAAAAAAACAAGGCTGTATATCTTTGGAGAGTTTATCTACTCTCTCGGGCTTTTGTTATATTTAAGATTCAAAGATTAACCAAATTCTTTCTAAAATATGTTTCCTAGTTTTAAAATCTCTGATTTTTGTGAAAATTCAGGTTATTCCAGTTGCTTTCAATTCATTAATTATAATGTGTTCATTATGATTATTAATATTTAATCGAATAATTTTTTAGTTGGGCTTTAAAACATTGGATGTTAGAATCTGCAGACTGCAATTTTCTCATTCTACATATTTTCCATTAGTGAAATTCAATATATATTTATTTGTTTTACAAGCATTTCTTGAACACATATATGTTCTGAAGTGTAGTATACCATAATAGTGACTTGCACACATGAACACTAAAAATTTAGAGCTGAACGAAGTTGATTCTTTTTCCGAATTTGTTCCAACAGACTTTAAAATTCTTATCAGAGTGTGAATAACTGACTAGAGCAGTAATGACGTGCAATATTTATTATTTAAAACATGTCCACACTACCAAAAGAGAAAAACACACTGCCCTTTGTCACACATGCTAATGAAAAGTTTAGTTGATTTTCACTCTCCTTCATTTCCTCTAAAATCTCTCTGGCTTAGGACTCTGCCAGCTGAAAAACAGACATGTGGCTACCACATTTGGGGACAACACAGTATTTGCAAGCCCTGCGGGAGATAAACTAGCCACACACTGTGTTCCCTGTTCAATAGCAAAACTATTATTCACAAAATTGGAGAAACTATAGTTCCTTTCCACTCAAAACGGTGATGATAATGATGATGACAATAATAATAATAAACCACAGTTACATCAAGATACAAACAGCTTTTTTGCTTTGATAAGATCCACGGCTGATTGAACTTTTGACCATGAGATTTTCTTCTTGTGAACAATTCTGCAGTATGTGCCGTAAGAGGAAAAAAAGGAATGTTGCTAATTATTTTTTTTGGGTTTCTTGTCCATCAATATGAAATCTTTAAACTGCAATGTCTGGCCCATTGGTCGAGAAGTGAAAGTTGTTGTAATGCCATGTTCCTGGTATTTGTTAAATGCATTTATTTTTGTGGGACATTTCATATAAATGGAAAACAGAAAGCCAAAACCATAAAGCAGGGCCTCTGAACTGCAAAAGCCAGAACAGTAATGCCACAGTCAAAGCAATCAG